ACATTTTAAAGCATAATAAAATGAGAGTGAAATAATAGACTCAATAATAGTAAATAATGAAAAGTATAAAGTTTAAATGAAAAGTAAAATACTGTATATAAGAGTTACAGCTGATTAACTTCTTCAATAAACGTGTAACAATAATAGACTGAATATAAGTCTGGCACTGATGGTCAAGATGTTTCTGAAATGTGGGTTTCATACCCGAGACCCAAAAACAGTGCCATTATCCTGATATTGGTGTTAATTATTAAAATTAAAATACATCTAACGCAATGATTAGAGAAACACTGCTGTGGTAAAACGTATGATAAAAGCTGATCGCTGTCTACAATCACACTCAATCAAAGCTCTGAGAATTAAACTACTAACAGAGTAACAGATATGATGAGTAACATTTATAAAATGATATGACAGTGTTTTAGCAACACACTTCCATCTCCATCTAAACACAGAATCTTTTTATACACACACACGCACATACACATACGTGCACGCACGAGTTTAACGGCTGATCAAACACAGGTTTGTTTCCTACATTCACTGGACGGATTGTAGAAGCTCAGAAAAGCAGAAATATGATTTGTGGTTGTAGCTGGAGCTTTAAAAGTGCTATAATGAAAATCTGGTTATACCTAGGAATAACAGAATAATAATCGCTGCGTACATGGAAACAGCCATACCTCATGAGCCTCAAACCTCATTGTTTCCTCGTTCTCTTGAAAATCTATAAGACTGTTAAGTTGCACACGGGACTTTTAGTTAGCATGCTTTCAATATTTGCATGTACTTTAGGTAAGTGTGTACTATTGTGTACTATGTGTATGTACTATTTATAAGTTCTTAATCAGTTTAAAGTTTTTAAGTCATCAGAAGTTTGTCAGCCAAAACACAGACTGTTACCTGTAGATAATACAAAATAATTCAACTAACTGAATCAATTCACTATACAGTATGTCACCTTTAAATGTTGATGATGTCACAGTGATTGGCATTGGTGGGCGTGTCTTCTCTCATTAAAGTGAACTCATCCTCTCGTTCTCATACACGACATTCTGATCATCTTCATACAACAATGGTGATTCTTCAGTCACTGAATCATTCACTTGGTTTCCTGTGGAACCTGAAACCGAGATGGATATTAAAAGAAGATCTGAAAGGTTTTAATCATTTCTAAAGAAGCAAAAATAATGACAAAACTTACTATTAAATTTGTATTAAAAATAAAGTGTCCAAGATCATTTGCAGAACACACAGTTGACAATATTTTGATTCTTTTGGATAATATCAGTTTTGTTTATGCACTTATTCTTTCCTCTGAATTGAACTTTATTTATGAACACTGAAGAAACATGGAAACTCGATGTTAAGTTTAATAATTTGAGTCATTAAAGTATTTAAATAATTCTAAACACAGTTTCAGTCATTTACATTAACTTCTGACTATCAGCTAGTGCCAAAGTCTAAATTGTATTATAATGATGAGAACCAACATGACTATAAAAAAACTAAACTAAATCAAAACACAAACTTAAATACAATTCAGTCATGCAGCTGTAAAAGAATTGTTGAATCAGTATCTTAACTAAATAATCTAGTCTAAAACCTCAATAAACTGCAGGAAGTTGCAAAGTCTTGATGGTCATGTGGATTGTGTAGATCATTTAAAACCCTGTGTCAAATATGGTTAAGTAGTCTGCACAAGGTTAAGGTTGAAGATACGATGGAACTCATTTTATAACATACACAAAAAAGCTTTTCAGTTTTATAAAGACCAGGGGCCTCATGTACAAACACTTGCATTAAATTCATACAAAACATTGCATTTGGACAAAGCTGTAAATGTGCATATGCAGTAAAAAAAAATTCAGATGTATGAAACACCGCGTACGCGGAATCCCACGCATATTCTCTTTGTACATCCGAATTAACGTAAAACTGAGCTGTGTGAGCTGAGTCGAGCAGAGCACACACATCTAACGCCATCATCTGATCTTATATGAAGCAAGAGATTGCGATGACATGTAGTAATGTCCCAATTCTTAGGAGTAAATTTTGAAGCCCTTCCCCTTAACACTCACTTTTAAGGGCCAGGGGGAAGAGGTAAGGGTACAAAAATAGAGTTGGGATTGGGCCTTATAATACTCACCATAGACCATAACATCGAATGCACTGATATTGTGTCCTGTGCTGGAACTCTTTTTCATTAGTTGATAAAGGCCCTCATGCTCACGTCTGATGTTACTGATGATCAGTGATCCAGTCTTTTCATCAATCTTCAGTCCATCTTTGAATCTCCTATCAGGACCATTATATGGAATGATCTGTCCACCTTTCACTTCAGCTATGGGAGACTCCACACTTTTAAACCTCCATTCAATCTCATCAGTCTGTATATCTGCAGCACACTGTAGAACAGCTCTATCTCCCTCATTGAATGACATTGGAACCCCTTCATGTCACAGAAAGGACAGAAAAAACATTATAACTAGAAATTCAGTAAAGTATCTTTGGACACAATAAGGCAGAAATATTCTGCATATGTAAGAATAAGAACTGTAGATGCAAATAAAACATGTTAATAACTATACAATATGGACAAAACTATATGTTAACATAAAAGCAGATAACAACCGCCTGGATATACTTTATTCTTACTTAAAGGGGTAGTTCACCCACAAATGAACATTTACCCACTATTTACTCTCCTTCAAGTGGTTCCAAAGCTTTATGAGTTTCTTCCTTCTGTTAAACACAAAAGAAGATATTTGAATAAATCCTGTAAGCATTGACTTTCATAGTAGGAAAAACAAATATGGAAGTCAATGGATTCCAGCTTACTCCAAAATATCTTCAATTGTGTTGAACAGAAGGAAGAAACTCTTTTGGGTGAACTACTGTATCCCTTTAATCTGCATGATCAATTACTGCAAGTTCACTATAATCATTACTGGAGCAAAGAAAACACAAAATGAATGACAATTACATTAACACACTATATTAACTCTTAAAATTCAGTGTATATCTGTTTTTTAAAGCACAAATGACTCACCTTTGATAAGAACACCGAATTTCTTTTCAGTGGTTCCACTGCTGCTGATGATCCTCATTTTATAAGCTCTATTGTCTTCAACAGTGATGTTGTTGATGGTCAGAGATCCAGTCTCCTCGTCCAGCACTAGTCTGTCTCTAAATCTCTCATCTAGATATGTTATCTCTCTAGCTTCTCTGGTCAATTTAGCAATTAGACGGTCTTCAATCAGCCACAGTATTTCATAGTTTCTCTGTATTTCAGTATCAGACTTTAGTGTGACAGATTTTCCTACCCATCCAACAATAATGGAATCTTCATGTGTGAGAGCAGCATATAAAAAATAAAAAAACAGAGAAAAAAAGTTGACATTAGATCAAGTAAACAGTTTGCAGTGTTTTGACTGGGAGGAAATAAACATTTACAGATCAACATGTCAATGTGTTTTATCTCATAGAGCAGGTGCCCGAACAAACTCTGGATTAAAGGATTAGCTTCACATTGACAAACTCAATATCAGGCTTTGTTGGTACCATGACGCTGATCATCATCTTTCTCTGTAAACTCAGGCTTTGATCCTGAGTTTATAAGCGCACGTACATGCTGGCGGGACATTAGTAGCAAACAGCCCAACATGCGCCTTGAAACATAAAGATAATGCGATTGACAACAAGCAAGAGAGTGGGGATAAAAATAAAAAGTTGCAAAGACAATGGGCTTAAAAATAAGAATTTACAAACATTTATACAGCAAGATGAAAAGAGCTGTTAATGAAATAAGGAGATCTAAAGGAAACAGCTTGCTTTATTAGTGTGTCTTTGAACTAATACTGCTGTTGTTCAGCGCCACCTACTGGACTGATTATTTTTTAAGAGTGATCTAATGGGGATCGAAAACAACTGCTGAGAGTTAAGGCTTATGCCATCCTGTGCCATTTAAATGGAGCATCATCATCGATTAAGTAATCATATTCTCTTTTTTCCCAAATATATAACCAACCCAAACAAATATTCACTAAGATGTATGAAACACACACGTACTGTCCCACTAACACATAGATTGAAAGAGTGGCACAAAGTGAAAATAAAGTAGCATTTTAATATAACAGAAAAACAAGTGCCATGGTAAATCCTACACAATACAAACTAACTTAATGAAACAAACTGCTCCCGATTAGAATCAACATGCCAGCAAATCAGGCAGCAGAGTATCAGTAATGTATTTTTATTTTTTGTAATTTGCATACCTGTAAGTTTCATGCAAGTAATATGGTTTGCTTTTTAGTTTGTGTGTGTTTGTTTGTGTGTGTGTGTGTGTGTGTGTGTGTGTGTGTGTGTGTGTGTGTGTGTGTGTGTGTGTGTGTGTCTATACTGAAGAACCCACAGAGCACAATATAACGGTAAACAGGTCGGGAACACTGCCGCTGTATTTCAACATCATATCTGATGGCAGACAATAAACAAGGAGAAGTCTAAATTTTATTTTAATGATGAAAATCTACAGTACTATAAAAGACTAAACCAAATCAAAAACACAAACTTAAATACAATTCAGTAAAGAAGGAGTAAGAGAATTGTTGAATCAGTATCTTAACTAAATAATCTAGACAAAAACCTCAATAAACTGCAGGAAGTTGCAAAGTCTTGATGGTCATGTTGATTGTGTAGATCATTTAGAGCCCTGTGTCAAATATGGTTAAAGGTGCAGTAGGTGATTGTCTTCAGAAAGATTTTTTGTTGTGCTGGTTGAAAGTCTCTTGACAGTCCAATAGTAATGATTACAGTAAATGATCTAAATGTGTTTATATGTATTTTTATATTCTGGGTAAAGCATAACACTAAAAATTGTTCATCCAATTAAATAGAGTCGGACCGTCATCTCCCTTAAATCCGATAAGCTGGTCAGACTGTCTGTCAACAAATGTAGATTCCGACTTCTGCGCATGTGTTCACGCAGATCCTCCATTAGCGCGTGCCCGTCTGCATTACAAACGCATGCGCTCCGAGCGAGCTGCGGGCCTCTTGCAGATGCCCAGTCGGAGCCGGAGGTGCCGAAGGACAGCCGAGCTCAGGCCGATTGCTGTAAAGCCAGGCGCGGGTATAATTCGCTCTTAAAGCGGCCGCGCGGTCATGAGACGGACCGGGAGAAATCAAATTCTGAATTGAAACTTTTAAATACCTCAATCAATATTGGAGTCACTTTAGCACGCTGGAGGAAAAACACGCTGAAGTATTACTGTTAGACAGGTAATGTTCTGTTTTGAAACTATTTTAGTCAGGCTAAGCTTATGTTAGATTGTGTTGTGTTATGAATGACTTATGCACAGATGTGATGTTCAGCCACTGAAATATCCTGGTGAAAAATTGATGTGATTATTTTCAGTTTCATACAGTTCTTTGACAGCATCGGTAATGTAGATTTATATTTAGTTTAACAACAAAACACCAGTAAATAGCGCTATTTCGCCTAACCTGCTTTATTGAGCTGAAGTTGCTTTTATATTCACATTGGGTCATTTTTGAACAATGACAGTCTTCCTATACTGTTTACCATGCTACTCTGAATATTCACTCTGAAATAGCATGTAAGTGTGGCTGAGTAATTAATGTAATTCCTGCACGGTGCGGGCGCTAACTGGTGAACTGGTGTTAGCTTTTTTGGCAGATCACCTACTGCACCTTTAAGTAGTCTGCACAAGGTTAAGGTTGAAGATACGATGAACTCATTTTGTAACATACACAAAAAAGCTTTTTAGTTTCAGAAAGACTTGATGATTATGGTTAAGCCTTCTTACTAAATTGTCCAGTTTCACAACTAATTGTGTCTGCAGTGTTTGATTATGACTGGAATATTAAAACATTAATGATGTGGTTTAATAAGAGATCTTTATTCTTTAATCTTTCATCTGAACTGATTCAATCTTACTGGAGTCTGTACACTTTGAGCTGAACTACCAGCAGTAGAAAAGCAATATATGAGGAAGACACCATAACACTTAATGATTTATAATACTCACCATAGACCGTAACAGTGAATGCATAGAAACTGTCTGCTGTGCCGGAACTCTTTCTCTTTAGTTGATAAAGCCCCTCATGCTCACGTCTGATGTTCTTGATGGTCAGTGATCCATTACTTTTATCAACCTCCAGTCTGTCTCTGAATCTCCAATTAGGACCATTATATGGAACGATCTGTCCACCTTCCACTTCAGCTATGGGAGACTCCTCACCTTCAAACCTCCATTCGATCTCATCAGTCTGTATCTCTGCAGCACACTGTAGAACAGCTCTATCTCCCTCACAAAAAAAACTTGGCTTCCCTGCATGTCACAGAATAAAAATAAAGAAAACACTATAACAAGAGATTCAGTAAAATATTATCGGATACAATGAGGCAGAAATATTCTGCATATATAAGAATAAGAACAAACTGTAGATGCAAATAAAACATGTTAATAACTATACAATATGGACAAAAACAATATTTTAATAAAAGAATATAACTGGATGTACTTTATCCCTTACTTAAAGGGATAGTTCACCCACAAATTAACATTTACTCACTATTTACTCTCCTTCGAGTAGTTCCAAACCTTTATGAGTTTCTTCCTTCTGTTAAACACAAAACAAGACATTTTGAAGAAAGCATTGTATAAGCATTGACTTTCATAGTAGGAAAAACCAATATGGAAGTCAATGAATACCAGCTTCAAAATATCTTCAATTGTGTTGAACAGAAGGAAGAAACTTTTTTGGGTGAATTATCTTTTTAATCTGCATGGTCAATTTCTGTAAAGTCACTATAATTATGACTGGAGCAAAGAAAACACAAAATGAATGACATTACATTAACACACTATATTAACTCTTAAAATTCAGTGCAAATCTGTTTTTTAAAGCACAAATGACTCACCTTTGATAAGAACACTGAATTTATTTTCAGTGGTTCCACTGCTGCTGATGATCCTCAGTTTATAATCTCTGTTGTCTTCAATAGTGATGTTGTTGATGGTCAGAGATCCAGTCTTCTCATTTAGCACTAGTCTGTCTCTAAATCTCTCATCATGGTATGTTATCTTTCTAGCTCCTCTGGTCATTTTAGCAATTAGACAGTCTTGATCTCCAATCATCCACTGTATTTCATTATTTCTCTGTATTTCAATATCAGGGTTTAGTGTGACAGATTCATCTATCCTTCCGTCAATAATGTACTTTTTAGGTATGATTTCTGCAAAAAAAAAAAAAAAAAAAAAAAAAACAGAGAAAGAAATGGTTGCCATTAGAGTAAGTAAACAGTTTTCAAAGGTTTGACTGAGAGGAAACAAACATTTACAGATCTACATGTCAATGAGTCTTTTTTTCTCAGAGAGCAGAAGCCTATGGTGACTGAATTACAGGATTAGTTTCACACTGATCATCATCTTTCTACGTAAACTCATTGATCCTGAGTTTATAAGTGAACGCACATGCAAACAGCCAATCATGTGCCTTGAAACAAAGATGTTTTACATTGCATGTAAAAATGTAATTGACAACTAGCAAGAGGGCAAGCACCATTCACAGGCAAATATTATAGAGTTAAAAATAAGAATTTATACTCTTAATTTATACAGCATTATGAAAAGAGCTGTTGATGAAAAGAGGAGAGCTAAAAGCAAACAGCTTGCTTTATATATGTAAGTGTAGATGTAAAGCAGGGATGTCAAACTCAATACCTGGAGGGCCGCAAGCCTGCACAGTTTAGTTCCAACCCTGTTCCAACACTTACCTGTAGGTTTCAAACAAGCCTGAAGGACTCAATTAGTTTGATCAGGTGTGTTTAATTAGGGTTGGAACTAAACTGTGCAGAGCTGCGGCCCTTCAGGAATTGAGTTTGACATCCTTAATGTAAAAAGTATAGACCTTTTTCATAGAATGCAAAATTATCCATGATGCTTTGTGTGTATGGCTAAGGAGGATGCTTCAAACTTCCGGTCGGCAGCTTGATGTGTATAAAGAGTCACATTTTGACAGCAGTAAACAACGGTTTAAATCTACTTTACTTGCTTTTAAAGGGCATCTATGGTGAAAAATCTACTTTTCAAGCTGTTTGGACTGACATGTGTGTAAGTATAGTGTACAGACCGTCATATTGGGCTGATATAAACACACCCAGTCCATTTTTTAAAATTTAACAAGATAAAAACGGTGGACCAATTGGATCGGTGTTTAGATCGACTGCAACTTGACGTAGGAGTGCGGTCCCCCCGCCCATCAATATTGATTGACAGGCACGTCACCAAGTTTGTTGATTCACGTCCGCCATTTTCAGCGTGAGTCAAAGCAATGTCGCTAAAGGAACACCCTTGCTCTATTTTTAGATGTAAGGCTCATTGGGCTCAACACAAGATCAATAATCTCCACATGATCGCTCTAATCAGAATTATTGTTTGTACCTTTTGGTAGGTTCGCAAACACGTGTACTTTTCATTGCATCTACCTTAAACTTTAGCCGTTCACATTTCTCACGTTCACAGAAGCTCCCTGTGACCTTAACTAGGTGCAGCTCGAAAAGTGAAAGTGCGTTGCCTCGTGTGTGCGTCTCTCCATTGGAAATAAAATAATGAACTTGCCTGCAGGTTGCACACCAGAAGCGCCGTGGCGCCACGCAGCACCATGCATTTTAGAATTTTAAACATAGTTTTCTATGAGGGTACACACACCGGCAATTCAAGTCGGCAGCTGTCCGCATCGCCCAACCACAATTCGGGACACTTCATGTTACTGCCCCACCACAGAGCAACATCTGAATAGTTTAGTTTTAAATAACATGTGAATTTGAGTGTCTGAATGTGCCGTGTCGAGGCTCTGGTGCCTTAGTCAAAGTTAATTCAGTGTGCGTGGTTATTATTCTCGGTGTACAAGCTCGACACTTTAAACTAGCACACAGTTAGCTGTAAAAACAAGACAAAGACACAAATGATTGTGTTCTCTCTGCTTGGTCTGTGTCCGAGTCGTACATGTACAGCTGAATGCTCATCCTCTCACTCAGTTTGCATCTCTCTCTGTCTGCCTGCCTGTTGCAAACACAGATCGGGCGAGCTCTTGGCTCCGCCCCCTTGTTATATTCGGCGGAATTTAAAACTAATTTTCATGTGTAGCAACACACCCCTAAAACAGCGAGCTGTGTACACGACCCCAAAATAACACGTTTGAACACATTAAAATAAAAAAATCTGAACTGTGTGTTGAACTGAACATAAACTGGCAAACTCAGAAGAATCATAATATTAATATTAAATCTTAAAAAAGGGGTAAACTATGTGCCCTTTAATGTCTTTGAACTAATACTGCTGTCGATCAGCACCACCTCCTGGACTGATTATTTTAATAAATGCGATCTTATGGGAATTAAAAACAGCTGCAAGTGATTTAAGCTTATCATCAAACAGCATCTGTGCCATATAAATGGAGCTTCGTCATCGCTAAAGTCATAATTTTCTCTTTTTTTTCAAATATATAACCAACCCAAACCCAAATATTCATCATAATGTTTAACACACACACTTTCAAAATCAAAGTTGTGCATCACAAAAACAATACACAAGCCACTCAAAACAGAATTGACACCCATTTTGGATCAAGATTTACCAGTTGTAAACGATGTAAATTGAAGTTCTAAGCATCCTACCGGAAGACGCTGGTCACTATGGCACCCTCCATACAGCAATGAAGAAAAGGGTCTATAGCTGATAATGTGTACTGTATAGGTATACAGAGACTACAAATTAAAAAAAAGTAAATAATATAAAAATAATAAACTACAATTCCAAATTTCTACTGGATTACAAATATAATAATTATACATTATCTCAAATAATTATAATAAATAAAAATCCTCATCAAAATCATCTGATTTAATATTTAAAAGTGACCTTTAATTTGCAGCATGAGGATTAGGAGGAGTGGCTTCATTGCATCATAGATGTGTCACAGTTGATTGCTTACAGTCTCTAAACCAGAACATATCCTGCCCCAGAGAAGGTTAGCCATGTAGTGCAAGATAACATGACAACAAAGAGCGATCTAAGCTGAGCTACCTTCATGGTACTTAAATCCAGAATTGGTGCAACCCAAACTTAAATTTAACCTGCTAGCCAGCTAACCTGCCTTTACGGTACAGACCTCTGATCAATATAACAGAATATAAATTCTGCTGGAGGAAACAAAATCCAGAACTGAAACTGAATCTTAAGTATTTTAACAGGTGTAAAAACCATGAGATCAGGATTATATACAAATGCTAAATACTGCAGTGACAGAGCACATCTCATCTGTATATCCTAGAGTTTGAGACCATTAAATAACAGAAAAAAAAATGTTTCATGAGGAAACACTGAGATGATCACTGCACTGAAAGACACGAGATCCTCACCATGAAAGTAAACAGTGAATGTCTTGTACGTGGCTTCTCCTCTGCTGATGATCTTCAGTTTATAAAGTCCAGTATGTTCAGGTTCGATGTTATTGATGGTCAGAGATCCAGTCTTCTCGTCCATCTTCAGTGTGTCGCTGAATCTCTCATCAGGATATATTATCTTTCTGGTGTTGCCAGTCATTTTAGCAATCAGATCATTTTGAACTTTAAACATCCACTGTACCTCATCCTCTCTCTGTATTTCAGCATCAGCCTTAAGAGTGACAGATTGTCCACGACTCACTAACATTTTCTCCTCTTCGTGTGTGACAGCAGCACAGAAAAACACAGAAAGAAAAGGATGGCATTAGCTCAAGCACAAGTTTTCTGTGTTTCGACTGAGATAAAAACTTACAGTTCAAGATCTGCTATAAATAAAAATATTAGCGATAAATGCTGCTTGAGGCAACATCCAGAACTGACGTTTTATCATGTGCAGAAACAGCTAGCTAGATCATGATTATTCATAAACACTAAATACTGCAGTGACAAGAGTTTTAGATAATTAAACCACAGAAAAAAGATTAAAAAATAAAAATACATGTAGAAGAACAGTGATGATCACTGCACAGAAAGACTGCAGATACTCACCTTTAAAACAAACAATGAATTTACTGTTTGAGGTTCCTCCACTCCGCTTGATTATCTCTAACCTATAATCACCAGTGTGTTCCCATTTGATGTTCTTGATGGTCAGAGACCCAGTCTCCTTGTCCAGCTCCAGGCAGTTACTGAATCTCTCTCTAGGTCCACCATATGTCTCTCCAATCCCTTCAAATATTTCAGCTATTAGGAAGTTGTTATTGCTAAACCACCACTGGATCTCATCACCTTCAAGTAGTTTAGTTTCAGTCTTTAAAGTTACATTTTCTCCCTTTGCTGTATTTATTTTTTTTCCTTCACGGGACACAGAAGCACATGAAAAGAGAAAAAAAAGATTGTAATGAGTCAGTAAAGCTTCACTGGACATGAAGAGACAGAAACTGTCAACAAGAACAAACTGCAACTTTTAATGTCAATGTAACATATTAAAGGGTCACGAAACACCAAAACACATTTTTTGAGCTGTTGACAGTCGTATATGTGTCCCACACTGCTAAAAACACTATTAGGACACCTATATTTCACTAAAAAGTGTAAATTGGTTGTTTTTGCGTTATTTCAAGCAAATTCGTACTTCCTGTTTGAAACGAATTTTTGAAGCTGCGTCACGGTCATGACATAATATCGTGTATTCCCGCGTGCAGACTGGGCGTCTGTGCCTGAGTGAGTCTTATTACGTCTTACAGTGTGATGCATTAATGCATGAGTAAGGCTTGGTTCAAACCAATCAGCGCGCTCTATTTTGCAACTTCATTAATATTCATTAGTGTCACTGTTTACACCAGAGACGCCACGTTGTGTTGGCAAAACAAGCGTGAAGTGTTGCTTTTATAGTTTGCTGCCATTAAGTTTCGTTTTCCTTTTCTCTCTGTGAGAGCTCAGACTCACGTGTGGATTAACAGTGTACGCGACGCGCGACAACAATAACTTACGTGTCTAAGGAGGATTATTGTTTACCTGAGAGCTGTTCTCATCTGCAAACGCTGAAATCCGGATTCGCTTGTAGTCTTCTCTTCATAAAGACGCGGCTCTAGTTGCTGGTGATTGTCCTGTCTCTACAGATTTGGTAAGTGAGCGACCAGTGCTCTTTGTTTTTTTAGTTTGTTCATATCGAATTAAGTTAACTATTGCACTGAGTGCAAACTTGTTAGCACTGCATTTTGAGACCGGAATAACACACGCAGCTTTCTGACGCTACCTGCCGAGTGCATCTAAGTTTCCGGGAAATGCGGAGGGTTTTTTTTCTCTCATTCTCCGTGCGGTATCAAACATTGCATGAAAAATACACGCTTAGAGCAGCGCCTCGAATCAAATATCACGTTTGTCGCGAGGGGCATGAATGAATTCCCTGAATGAAAGAGCCAAACTGCAGTTAAAGTCCAACATTTAATAATTTGGCAAATAATTCAACTACAGATGTCCATGTAGGTTAAAGACAATGACTGTAAAAAATACACCATCACTTTCTCGTGTGTGTATTTTGACTGAAACTCGCGCGTGCCCAAATAGACACTCCCACACCATCCCACTTTAGTTCCTCCGACACTCCCCCTAAACAGAGCTGGACACGCCCACTTTTCTGACTTTTTCCAAAGTAGAGGTGTGAAAACACCCTGCTGAAACGAGGGGGTTTCATGGCCCTTTAATATTCATTAGTGTCACAGTGTTTACGCCCCAGAGACGCCACGTTGTGTTGGCAAAACAAGCGTGAAGTGTTGCTTTTATAGTTTGCTGCCATTAAGTTTCGTTTTCATTTTCTCTCTGTGAGAGCTCAGCTGGAGTCACGTGTGGATTAACAGTGTACACGACGCTCGACAACAATAACTTACGTGTCTAAGGAGGAACATTGTTTACCTGAGAGCTGTTCTCATCTGCAAACGCTGAAATCCGGATTCGCTTGTAACGTTAGTCTTCTCTTCATAATGACGCGGCTCTAGTTGCTGGTGATTGTCCTGTCTCTACAGATTTGGTAAGTGAGCGACCAGTGCTCTTTGTTAATTCAGTTTGTTCGTATCGAATTAAGTTAACTATTGCAAATATAGCACCGCATTTTGTGACCGGAATATCACATGCGGCTTTCTGACACTACCTGCCGTGTGCATCTAAGTTTCCGGGAAATGCTGAGTTTTTTTCTCTCATTCGCCGTGCGGTATCAAACATTGCATGAAAAATACACGCTAAGAGCAGATCCTCGAATCAAATATCTCGTTTGTCGCGAGGGGCATGAATGAATTCCCTGAATGAAAGAGCCAAACTGCAGTTAAAGTCCACCATTTAATAATTTGGCAAATAATTCGACTACAGATGTCCATGTAGGTTAAACACCATCACTTTCTCATGTGTGTGTATTTTGACTGAAACTCGCGCGTGCCCAAATAGACACTCCCACACCCTCCCACTTTAGTTCCTCCGACACTCCCCCCTAAACAGAGCTGGACACGCCCACTTTTCTGACTTTTTCCAAAGTAGAGGTGTGAAAACACCCTGCTGAAACGAGGGGGTTTCATGGCCCTTTAATAATCTTTCAAAATTTGAATGACTTTATAAACCATCTGCAGCCATTTACAATAATGTATTGAATGATTCGGATTTCTGCTTTCCAATCCGTCTCATCATGGACCAACGTTTATCCTTTTCTCATCATCTTATTTCTCATAATTTTTTTTTATTAAATATATTCGATCATTTGAATGAGTATTTAACTGTGAATTGATTTTAATTAAAGAATAAGTTAACACACTGCTTAATATAAGAATGTTCAGAGCATTTGCCTGTCTCTTTATAACTATTTTCAGAAGCCACCAAACTAGGTCAGAGGTCACGGAGAACTTGAGTGGAACTGAGGGCTGAGCACTGGAAGCAACTGTTTCTATTGTTATTTCTAGTAGTAAATATTATCTAAAATGTCTAAAGGTATTTTGCTATTTTTACGGTTCATTCTTTTTAAGTGATTCCACTTTTATTCAAAATAGACTTTGTGTAGTAAGAATATAACTGCCTGAATGTAGATTATACCGGTTTTTAACCAGTTTTGATAAAGACGGCTGAGAGTACACTCAGCCTTGGATATGAAACAGATTGTACTTTAAGTGTGTGTGTTCTATTTGATTTGTAAGAGGCGAAATTATCATATGCATTTGTTTATATGACAAAACATGTCTTTTTGACTCAAGAAGGTCCATACTGACTACAATGGCAGATATTGATGAGATGAGGGCCTGTTGTGTGGACTTTGGGGGTTTTATGATGTGGTCAAATGTCGATTGGTCAGTTTGAATGTCTCAGCGTTTGGGCTTTAGTCACATGGACAAGAAAGATACAAAATAGCTGATAAACTCAGGCTCTGTCTCTTTTCCTGCCCCCTCTTTTCCTGCTCTGCTCCTCTCCTCCTCTGGAGTCTATCTCCTTTGACTCTACTGGAATCAGGCTAACTTCTGAGCCTGCTCTCTTTGTTTCTCTCTCCCTACCCTTGTGTCTCTCCATCTAACTCTGGTAACGTAATTTTACATTTAAGCCAGGTACAATTTATATCATATTTTTTATCATTTCATATAAATTATCATTTTATACAGTTATTTTGTGATTAATTCAGTTGTAACCATAGAGAATTATTGTCACTATATCATCTCATTTTCAAGTATTTGTGAATTACTTTTGATTTAACATCAACACTTAATTATTTCATATTGCAATACAATACAATCCCATAATATCAACGCTCTCCCACATTTATAGTTATTAATACCGCCCTTATTTCCGTTTTTGGTATGAGATTGCAGAAGAATGGTTTGACTAGAAATGTACAGTTTTTTACCATCATGCTGATAACTTTTTAGTCGCTAAGCAGAACTACAGTTTACACCTCTGAGGTTAAAACCCATTCTTACAGAATCTTCGCTTCCACTTTATATTAAGTGTCCTTAACTACTATGTACTCACATCAAAAAATAAATACAATGTACTTACTGTGTTCATAATGTATTTGAGAACACCTATGGTGCTCTTGAGTTGGGAGAGGGGTAGGGTTATGGACAGGTTTGGTGGTGTGGGTAGGTTTAAGGGTGGGTTAAGGTGTAGGGAATGGTCAGCAGTGTTTTTACAAATGTAATTACAGAAGTTAATTACAGATGTAAATATATACAGGAATTTAATCAAGCATAAGTACACAATAAATATATGCATTTACACAATAAGTACATTGTAACAAACATATTAATTCCTGTGTAAGTACATATTAGTTAAGGCCACTTAATATAAAGTGGGACCGAATCTTCTAACAATATTTTGTACTTTTTCCTCACAACTTTATAATTTAGGATGTATAAAAAAAATTCATGTAACATTAACAGTTAACTGCTTTTCTCCTTCTTGTAGTTTGCGAGGGCGTACTCTCACTATGTACAGTTGCCTTGAACTGGGCCAAAGCACGCTTGTACTCCCTCCCATCTCCCTCTACGGGCTGCACTCGCATTACATTAGGGGTGTCAAAATTAATCGTTTCTTCGGTGCATCGCAATGCAGACGCGGACAATTCGGTATCAGTTCAGTAATAATCATAACCGGTTATTACTGACGTCATTTACCTCATATGCGCTCTGTCGCGCGGGAGGCGATCGCGAGTATTTACA